TGTATGTAGAATAAACTTCCTGAGGACGTTTTTCCAAATGGATTTTCTAGTAATGGCTGTGTTTTGTCTCAAAAAGAATCGCATCTTGGTAAATTCTTACGATTTATGGAGGAAAATTGAAAGAATGGAAGAGAATTTACTTACAGAATTCCAAGTATCTTATGGTTTTCTCGTATTCTATATCATTTCAATTAAAGAATATAGACTGGGATCCATATCATTTTTGATCGAGAGATGATATTCTTGATACTTTTTGTATTTCTATCCCCTTCAGTAAGACGTTTCGAAATGTTTCCAAACATTCCAGAATATTTTTCGTTATATTCTGGAGTGCTCTCGAATACTATCGATTGCTTTGGAATGTTTGAGAATTTCCTAGTAGGCAAACATTTTAATCTTTTTGTCTCCGGTAGATGGCTACCACAACATATGACTTTCCTCATCCTTACACGATGATTGAATATTCCAGAATGTTCTGGAATATTTCGGGATGCTATAGAATACTCTCAATTGTTTCAAACTATTCTAGTACTTTCTCGAAGACGAAACTTCCAGCCCTTATATCTCCAAAACTAGAATTTCTTTCACAAATATGTTGGTGTGAGACTATGACAAAAAAAAACACAAATAAGTATGTTCTGCCAACCGAGCAAAGCGTCAAGTTGCTTGCTCAAGTGTAAAATAGTCGTACCATGTCACTTTTTGAAAACAATGATGACTTGAATACATGATTGTTTTTCTATTACATCAATGGGATGAAAAAATCTACAAATTTCAGATATCGTCAAAGGGGTAATGAAAAAAAATCAAGGGGATACCCTATTTCGGCCACCACTGAAGAATATCGAATGCGCTGAGTACATCGTCAAATGTATGAAAGCCTGCTGGCACGAAGATCCAGATCAGAGACCAGACATCAGATATGTTAGAGTGAGACTGAAAGAAATGCAGGTATTTATAGTCATATGTTTCTTGTGATGGCATTATATTATCGCGAATCAAGTTTGAATTATAAGAAGTCTGTTTTAATGGTGAAAACCACCATCAGAACCATAAAAAATGAGAATTTGGCTTTCGAAAACATAAAGCAATCAAATTCTAATCCGTATTGGAAAATTCTCTGGTTTCTTTTTCTGATCCAAATTGTGATTTTCATATTACATTTCTTTGTTTCATTGTCATTATATGTTGTGTGACAGTATGTGCCAGCCACAACATTGATTGATTGGTTTTCAAATAATTCACTGATCAATTTTCGTCCGTATTGACATTCTTGTTTCTTGGAACTATGGAACCGAAGAACAATAAAAACCGATTGTTTCATTTACAATTTTTCAACACCATTATATTAGCAAAATGATTATAATTTACAGATTATTCAATACTGATTTCGAGTTTCATGAAACAAATTGCTATAAAAAAACGATAACGATGTTGATGCAATTGAGTTGACTTCTGAAAACATTCCAAAAATAACTGAGATCCGGGGTTATCCACCAACAAAAAAGAGTTAGCAACATAGAACATGAACCCACATTGACAAACCCACCAAAAATTGTTTTTTGAGAAGAGTGTTGAATACCTTATACACCGTTTCCAAAATAAGAATGAACAGCATGGGGATATCAGAAACGGTAAGGATACGGGGTCGATTGAATAAAGAAAAGAAGTGCATTTATGTGCCCAATAATATGCCATTTAGAAAGTTTTAATATTCCGAGTAGTTATGGAGATATCCCAGAAAAACCGAAATTTGAGAATTTCGTTTTCATTTTCTCCTAGCTTTATTTTCGAACGAAATGTAAAACAATTAGCACTTTGCCCTGACCACTGTTCAAGGACTATACGATAACGTGAGCACAATTTTTCTGCGACGTTTCGTGCCAAAGAAATTGTTTATGTGCGTACTTTAATAAGTATCCAGAGAGGCGACAACCTCAAGTAATTTCATTAGTCTTTTTTATTCAAATAACAATTTTATTTATGTAACATTTTAAATCAAATGCCATTTTGAATAGAAAAAATTTTGCGAACAATCGTTTTTAATGTGTCGAACAAATGCATGAATCAATTAAATTCAAACAGATAAATTATCAGTTGAATAAATTGAGGAATGAATATTTGTGACAATAAAAAGTAAAACGGCGTTCCATAGCTTTTGGTCACTACACATCCGTCTCCCAAACACCTAAGAAGAAACAGTGAAATAAAACACATACAAATGAAATATTTATATCTATTGAGATACAGAAATTTTTTTCCAGGCTGGATTGAAACCCAACATTTTTGACAATATGTTAGCTATAATGGAAAAATATGCCTATAATCTAGAAGGATTAGTACAAGAAAGAACTAATCAACTGACTGAAGAGAAGAAGAAAACGGACGCTCTCCTCCATAGAATGTTGCCAAAGTGAGTATATTCAAGTTAAATTTCTACTATATCATAACGGATTATGTATCTGTCCCAAACGAAAATAACAATTTGAAATAATTCTGATATGATGAGGAAAGTTGCTACATTTTTCAGTGTATCCATTGATCTTTCACATCTGAAGTCAATCCCAATGAATCATTCGTATGATTTGTGTTCTACACCAGCTCACAAATGATTATGATAAAATATTAATTTTAGAAGACTTCAATATAAACTTCAAAATTGAATCCGAAGTCCTTTTGAACTTTACTTGCCTGTCAACTTCATTTGGTTTATCAGTCACCATTAGAGAAGATACCAGAGTAACGGCTACTTCTTCTAAGTGCATTGAGAATATAATTACAAACATTACTGATGAATTGCTTATCACGGGTGTCAATGAACCCTGTTTATCTGACCATAGAGACCAGTTTGCCAAAATCAATCTTATAAATAAACCACATGGAAATTATTATGGATACATGGATACCTAACGGTATAACTAAGCTTAAAAATTACTTATGTGATATTAATTGGCAAATGTTTTTCATCAACCAACCACATTACAAATTTTTCCTCTAAAAAAATGTAAACGAAAAGCGAACAAATCACTGGATCAGTGGTTTTCAGATGATCTGAGATTGTTAAGAAATAATATGCACAGCCTCAAACAAATAGCAGACAAAACCAAGACCCCAAATGGTTTCATGGCGTACAAACAGGTCAATAACGAATATGGCAATAAACTGATATCCGCTAAAAAATGACGTATAATGAATACATTTCTTCATCCAATAATAAATCTAAAACTTGCAGGAAAATAATAAATTTCTGGAGAGATAAATACGATTTAAAACCAACAATCGAACTATCATCTGATGAGATGAACAACTCTTTCAGTACTATTGCTGATAATATCATTAATTCTCTCCCGTATGTTGCAAACGAGGTGCTTTTAAGTTTTGAAAAAATTCCTGCTCCGTTTAAGTCATTTTTCTTTCGACTCATGCATGAGATAGAAGTTTTGGAAGCGATTAATTCACTAATGGACTACAAATGTTCAGATACCCATGAACTCAATAGTCGAATACTAAAGGAAACCTCGTCTATAATAATCCAACCTCTTACTATACTGATCAATTTAATCTTATGTACTAGTATATTTCCAGATATCTTCAAGTCTTCTAAAGTAGTGCCCATTTTTAAAAAAGGTGATGAAAAAGCCATTGATAACTACAGACCAATAAGTATTATTTCGAAAATCAGTAAAGTGGTTGAAATTATAATTAAAATTCAGCTCTATGCCTACTTTGAGAATAATAAATTTTTCAGCAACTCACTATATGGTTTCAGAAAGTCGCGCTCAACAATAAATGCAGTGTTCGACGTCGTGTTTGGCGTGATTGAGGAACTTGAGCAGAGGGCAATCACTCTGCGTTGATGCTTTGTAACGTGTCGAAAGCGTTCGACTGCGTCTCACATGAAATTCTATTGGAAAAATTCAACTATTACGGAGTTAGAGGTATTCCGCTTCACATAATAAGAACCTATCTTACTAATCGTCATCAAGCAGTAATGTTCAACGGTACCTTATCAAACTATCAAGCGTGGCGTTCCACAAGGGTCTGTTTTGGGCCCGCTCTTATTTGTTATTTATCTGAATGACTTGTGCAAACATATGATACCGTTCAAATCGGTTCTCTTTGTGGACGACACCACTTTCATTCTGTCGGATAAAAATAATGATATGTTACAGTCTCATCTCGACGGGGTATCTAATAGTGCTAATCAGTGGTTCCTATCTAATAAGCTGAAACTGAATTGTCAGAAATCACAATACATCTAGATTTCTGCTAATAATCAAATTATCTCTAACTGTAAAACTAGTAAAGTCAAATTACTGGGCATTACATTAGATAGATCAACTGCACATATTTCCCAACTGAAGAAAAAAGTCTCGGGTTCACTATTTGTTCTTCGCCAATTGAAGTACTTCACTAGTGCAAATATATTAAAAAACTCATATTTTTCACTGTTTCACTGTCATATAAGTTATGGTGTACAACTTCGGGGAAAGGCATGACATTCCATTCAAATATTTAGGATGCGAAAGAAGGCATTTAGAGTCCTGGCTAATATTGGATACAGGAATCACTGTCAAGAATATTTCAAAAAACTCAGAATTATGCCATTGCCAACTTTATTTCTTTATTGCGTTTTGATTGAAGTCCATAAGAAGAAACCATCCTTGGCAAAACAATGTCATATCAACGAACATAACACACGAAACGCTCACTACATTAGAATAAATCGCGAAAAAATTCCATGAATTACTCTCTGTACAATATTTTTTCCCAAGATTTTAAAAAACTCATTCTAAACACATACAAGAGAAAATTGAAAAATTATTTGTTGAGGCATTGCTTCTATTCTGTCGATGACTTCAGAACACATTTTTGTAGTAACNTCAAACCGTAAAGAATCAGGGATATTAAAAACTATATAATAAAAATAAGAAAAAATGATCTTGTTCGCACTAAAGCTGATAAATCGAAAATCATAGTTATATTTGAACGAGAAACAAATATCCACAAAATTTAATCAATCATTCATAATGAAAATCTCACCGTCATGAAGAAATACACAAGAAGAAATAGCCGAAATGAAATAAAAAAATTCTTCTAGATACGAAACTAATTTTCACTGAATTCGAGAAACGCCTGATAAAATCACATAAAGAAGATAACCCAATAACAATGGTAGTTTCCTATGTAAACAGTTCAGTAAGAGAACTAGAAATACGTCACAAGAATTTGTTCAAAAATATTACCAATTTCGTCTCACGTCACAGCATTGAAAATTCACCGAAATTATTGGAAAAATTAAGAACCAAACCTCTACACATTATTCAATTTTAGTGTCATTCGATGTAAAGTGTATGTTCTCCAACTTACCGTTCAACGATGTAAGCCTTTCATTTTAGATATATTAGATCAATCCAAAGTAGACCATATCACTTCTTTTGAAATCTCGATAGCTTTCGGTGTATGCCTAAATCAGAGTTACTTACAGTTCAACAACAAATTTTATAAACCGAATTCAGGTTTACGAATGGACTCACCCCTTAGTCCACTTTTGGCACACATATTCTTGAATAGCTTGCAATATAAATTTCAAGAAAAGGAAACGATTACACTTCATTTTGAGGTCGTTATTATTCATCTTATACATGAAGAATTCAACTGACCTAGGAACTGAAGGTAGACGACCATAGAAAACGACTTGTATCCGCTGACTGGGCTCTGGAGCAGTTGGCAACTGACCCTAATTTCCATCAAATAACCATATTCAGCGATGAGGTCAATTTCTATAAATGGGTACGTGAACAAACGAAATTATTGAACTTGGGATGATACTAATCCACATGAGATCCAAGAGCGTCCAATGTATCCAGAAAAAGTCACTATTCAGTGTGAATATTTCTTTGAGAACGACGTTGGCCAGGCTATCAGTGTCTACTATAGGTTGATGAGTACCAACTCCTTCTGATCTGAATTGGATGAGCTAGATACCAACGACATGTAGTTTCAACAGGAAGGCGCTACCAGTCACACAGCTCATATCATAGTGAATATTCTGCACGAGAGATTCAAGGGCATGGCGATCTCACGTGGAGGTGACGTTAACTGGCCACCGTATTTGTGGGATTTGACCCCGTTAGACTTTTTCTTGTGGCCACGGCTTTCTCCACCCAGAGAAGCCGTGGCGGACATTTGAAGGATGTTATATTACACACATAATGGAATCAATAGGGTTTTCTTAGGTCACAAGTGCGTCAGGAACCACAGAGCGGCCCCCACGCCAACATAACCCATGCCACGGTCCAAAGAAGCCGTGGCGGACATTTGAAGGATGTTATATTACACACATAATGGAATCAATAGGTCTTTCAAACGAATAACATTTTTTTATAACTTAGAGTCTGTATGTTTCATTTCAATTTGGAAATACAAAACTTTTCAATTCTGGGTTTCTTTCTTTTATGTCTGCATACTGTAAATCTATGCAAAGGAGGATGCTGCAAGCAGCTTAATGGGATCGGAATCTGTCATTGGCATCACTTTAGGCTTTACCAAATAAAGATTTAACACCAGGAAGACAAGAAGATTTATGGACTTCTAGCAGAATCTTTCAGGATTGGCTCACTTCAAGGCGTTTATTCCCAGTAGGGATGAACTACGATGTCTAACAGGCCTACTTACAGGTCACTGTCATTTGAAGCATCATATGCAGACACTTGGACTGTCGGAAGACAGTTTGTGTATGTGTATGTTTGAAAAATGATGAAACAGCAGACCATATACTTTGTGCCTGCCCCGCTGGGGACCGAATCAGGTTCTTAGAGTTAGGCAGATCCGTACTGTCACCATCTGACCTGAAAGACCACTCACTATACAAACTAATCGGCTTCGTTTAGGAGCTGGATTTATCTGGTCGAGTGTGAATAGGTGTAAGGCACAATAAACCCTTGCGGGTTGCGGTGAAGGAACGAATAGACTCACTCACTTTGGACCTAACCAAATCTAACCGTAAATCCACTCTTACATACTAAATCTGGACTTCCTTGTGCGAAGTGATGAATGAGAGATTGCCAAATCTACATTTTCCATACGACAACTAAGTGTCCACCCACTGAAAGTAACTGCTTGATTACATAGTTGCTAATCAATACTATTAATAACTTTTGTGAATTATCACTGAAGAATTTCATATATGTGGTGGAATCGGCCAAAATTTGAAGATAATCCATAACGTTTTGGAAAAACACTTTAATGTGAGGTTCTCACCAAACAGTTTTTTGAAAACACAACACGGGTTTCACTATTCAATATCTTCTTCAGGCGTCTCTATACGGTATGGACAATTTACAGCATATACAGTATAGACACATCTGAAGAAGCTATTGTATAGTGAAAATCTCACAATAAAGTGTTCCT